TCGCGTTCAAGAAAATGATTTGTTCGAATCCTCATATGGCTACGCTAAGGGACGAGATGCTCCGTGGCCAGTTTGTCCAAGGACTCACCCTGGAATTGAGGATGAAGTTGTTAGAACGCGATTCTCAGTCGTTTGATAGTGTGGTCGAGGTAGCGGAAAGATTGTATAAGATTGAACAATCGTGCGGTTTTCGTGAAGTTCAGGTGGGTGGCGTAGTCGTGCCTCCGTTTAACAGGACGGAAGATCCCAGTAAGGAATCAACTAACATGGCCAAGCTATCGGCAAGACTGGCTAGTTTAGAGGAAACCGTTACTAAGCTTTCGCAGGCAGTCATGGGATTGTCTGTTAATCCAAACAAGCACGACACTAATAAACAAACCAGAAGGGCTGGTCCCGAACGGAAATGTTTCATTTGCAAAAGCAAGGACCACCTGTGCTCTAATTGTCCGTTAAATTTAAACTCGAAGGGAGCCACTGTCTCAGCCAGATCAGTGGCTCGGAATTGATCATCGACCTGGCTGAGGAACCCAAAGTCAACGACCACAAGCTCCCAATTATTTCTGGTGAAATTAATGGGCGCACTGTGAGCTTGTTAATTGACACCGGGGCCGAAAGGTCCCTCATTAACCAAAGGAATTTGGAGTCTCTGGGGGGTGCAGACCACCAGTGTAATGTGGTCAACGTAAGAGTCAAAGGGGTATCTGGGGGCATCGTGAGATGCGACAGGAGTTTTTTGTTTAAAGTGAAGTTCGATAGTAAGGTCGTTCCTACTCAATTCATTGGTGTCGACTCTGGGATTTTGGTCGGGAATCAAGGCATCCTTGGCATGGACTTCTTGTGTGCCTGCCCGGAAATCTTGACTAAAATAGCGCACATCATGAAAAGGGGTTCTGTTGTGGCAAAAGGAAGTTCGGCAGTTACGATTGTGTCATTGTGCGAAACCCCCAATTCACCGGACCCAATTGGACAAGTCGACTTATCACACTTACCCAGCGAGCAAGCTATAAAGATACATGATATCATCAGTGACTCGTCTGATATCTTCCACGAGACCGTGGAGGGGTTGGCGGGGACGAAAAAATTCGTTCACAACTTCGACTTGTGCACCGATCACCCCATCTATACCCGTCAATACCGCATTCCACATGTGTACTTGAAAAAATTAAAGGAGAAAATTGAGCAATATTTGGAAGCCGGCATAATTGAGCCATTGAATTCTGAGTGGAATTCCCCTATACATATCGTACCAAAAACCAATGGGGAAATCCGTTTCACACTTGACCTAAGGAAAGTCAACGAAGTCACTAAGGGCCAGGACTTCCCTATGATGTGGATTGATGACATCCTTGTGCAATTGAAGGGAGGGAAGATATTTTCTGTCCTAGATTTAAATTCTGGCTACTTCCAGATACCGGTTGCGCCCCACCTCCGCAAAGTATTTGCTTTCTCTACCCCCTGGGGAAAGTATCAACTCTGTCGCATGCCCCAGGGTGGCAAGAACTCAGGGCGCTGTTTTCAGAGCATAATGAACTCAATCCTCTCCAAGTATGTAGGAACATCCTGTTTTGTGTTCCAGGATGATGTCGTCCTCTTTTCCAAGAACATTAAGGAACATATCGAGTTGTTAAGAGAAGTGCTCCTCCTTATAAAAGAGGCGGAATTAGTACTAAGGCCTTCGAAATGTAAATTTGCGGTGACTTCCGTCCGTTATCTAGGACACATAATTAGTGATGAGGGAATCTCTCCGGATCCCGATAACATAAAGGCTTTCCTTGAAATACCACCACCTAGAACGGTGAGGCAAGTATGTTCATTTCTCGGAGCCCTCGGTTTCTACCGGCCATTCATAGAAAACTTTGCCAGCATATCCCTACCACTCACAGAGTTAACGAAAAAAGGACATCGCTTTAAATGGACGAAGGAATGCGAGGACAGTTTTTCCAGGTTGAAGAGGGCTGTCACCACCCCCCCGACGATGAGACATCCGGACTTCGCATCCGATTTTCACCTCTATACTGATGCTTCCGATCTGGCCGTGGGGGCTGCCCTACACCAGAAGTATGGTGATTGTCTCGCTCCTATTGGTTTCTTTAGTAAAAAGTTACATGGTGCCGAGTTAAACTATTCCATCGTCGAGAAGGAATGCCTCGCACTAGTGTTGGCCCTCCATCATTTCCGCTTCTTAATCCTAGGTAGGCCGATAATCGTGTACTCTGAGCACAAACCTTTAGTTTTCCTCAGAGATATGAATAACCATAACCGGCGACTCATGAGGTGGGCCATCGAGATAACCGGGTATGATGTTCAGATGGTACATGTAAAGGGAGGAGAGAATAAGGTGGCTGACACATTGTCTCGTACTCACGATGATCGAACCATCCTACCCGAAGTCAAGGTAAATATCAATTCCGTATCCCCACCTGAGGATAACAACAACAGGAGTGTAAATGATCGAGTGATTGCATCTCAACAATTAGATAGTCGGATAATTGAGATCCGCAACACTCTGTTAAAAGGGGAAGTTGGCAACACCCCCACTAACCTCCAGGACTTTGAGGTGAGTAATAATCTCTTAATCAAAAATGGCCTAAACTATAGAGGTGAGCCTGTTAAGTGCCTTTGTGTCGACGACACTATGCAGATACCTCTAATTGAACATTACCATGAGATGGGCGGGCATAGCGGTGCAGAAAAGACCCTGAAGAAAATGAGGGGCAAGTATTTCTTTCCTAATATGAAGAGAAAGATCAAAAATTTCATAACCAGGTGCGAAAAATTCAATCGCACTACTCATAAGGCGCCGATCCAGGAGGTAACTCACCCGAATGAACCGATGCAAGTGATCGCAGTGGACGTGATAGGTCCCGTGCCCGAATCGCGAAGGGGAAACCGGTACATTATCGTTTTCGTTGATATGTTCACAAGATTCATCGAGGCCATCCCCGTCCCCGAGGTGTCGTCGAAAACTATAGCAGACTCCCTCTTCGAGAATATTGTGTGCCGTTACGGCGGCAGGCAAACTCTCATTTCCGACCGGGGGACGAACTTGACCTCGAAAATTATGAATGATGCATGCAACATACTGAACATCGATCGGAGATTAACTACCGCATATCAACCTACTTCCAATGGGACCTGTGAGAGGGCAAATAAGACTATAATTGAAATGATCTCTAGGATTTCAAACGGCGACAACGTTGATTGGGATAAATATATTCCATCAGCGTTGTTAGCCTAACGCACCACTATTCACAGTTCGACTGGTGAGACGCCATCTTTCCTGCTGTACGGGTTTGATCCCGTCATCCCTGGTGAGCCCCGTACCACGGACATGGATCAAGATGCTAAAAGTGCTCTGGACTACCGTGAAAAACTAATACGTAAGCTCCATGTATGTCGTGAGGCAGCGAATGTATTCAACAAAGAGCAACTAGCTAAGAAAAGAGCGTACTGGAATAAAAACCGAAGGCTGAGGAAATTCAGAGTTGGGGACTTGGTATTAATCAAGAAACCATCAAAAGTTACACATAAAAAATTCTCGGCATGGCATACTGGTCCTTTCCGGGTAGAGGAAGTCCTCAATGATGTAGTGGTCAGGGTAAGAGGCCGGAAGTTGAAGGATAGCCAAACTATACACATTGACCGCCTTAAACCCTTTTATGGGTGGAACAATAAAATCAAAGGAGCTAAGAAGGATAATCGAGGAACTAAGGTCGAAGGCGTAAGGGAAAATGAGGAAGAGGAAGTTGATCATCGGCAATCTCAACCTTATAGGGGGTTACATAGACCAATTTCTCACCCACCCCAAACTCCGAGCCCCCCAGCCGACACACGGCCTGATAGAAGCCAAGATGACGTGGCTACTCAACGAGATATCCCCTATCACTTAAGACAACGGAGGGTTGTTGATTACGTCACCCTGAACCGTGGTTATTAAAATAATGATAATAATAATAATTTTTTTT